CAGGTCACCTGTGTTGTTTTGCTGGACACTCCCCCCTGCCCCCCCCCCAATTGGTTTAAGAGCTTTAAAAACATGTTAGACAGAGGGAGCTTGATTAAATTGCTGCTGTAAGTATTATTTAATGCATTAATTATTATACAAAGGGGCGTCGTGTCTCTAAGTGGGGATTTATGATGCACTCCCTGCAGAACACACATTTCCGCTTTGCAGAATGCCTTAACATTGACTTTTCTTGACTGTAATTGCATTGTGATCGGCAAGCGCAAAACAAACAGCGAGATTTTGGGAGCTGCTTAGTATGGGAATCATTTTCCTGGAGGACAGCAGAGCTGCTGTTGACATTGCTGTCGACACGAGTCCTCTGCACCGCGTTCTTTCTTTAATAACCTCCTGTTTTCATGGATATTGCAAATGTCTCAGCTACCCCAGAGTCTGAATCCTTCTCAGTGTTCAACTCACAGAACAATCATCAGCTTCTACTGTAAAGTTGTATGGTAACTGGCCAAATTGGCAAAAAATAAATCAAATATGAGTACAGAAATTGAAATGGGAATATAATCATTTCAAAGAGCACAACCAACAAAGCAGGTTTCTCACTGTACAAACGTGGTTCCAGCTTGCTTCAGAAACACAGAAGTGCATCGAAAGCAATGAGTTTCCTCCTAAATACAAGGGGTGTGCAAGAGATGTCAGCTAACCTCTGTCACCGGTTGGATTTGGCTTGGGGTCAGCCAGAGGTGGATAGTTCAGGTCCCTAAAAGTAAATATCCAGACCTAGATTTTAATTCAGCCAGTTGACTCTTTTTACTCTACTGGTTGGTTGAAACAAAATCTTGGCTGGGATTTTTGCTTTCTGGGACCTTTGGGATCCACCATCCACATGTAGCATGACCACTTAGAGCAGGTGACCAAGCACAGCTGGTCCATCATGAGGGAGAAATACCAGCCTTTCGACAAAAGGGCAGTACATTGTAAGGAAATCTACCTCTAGAACAGGTATGTAGGATAAGTCTTAGTCTGGTTTAGTCCAGCCAAATACGAGGAACCCAGAGGTAAGATGGACAATCTGTGGGCTCCTGTAGGTGAAGAGTTTGCTGCATTTCCAACAAGGGTCAGAGCATCTAAGCAGAAGTAATGCTTGCAGGTCTTGTTGAAGCAGTGTGTGGCTTATTCAACGGTTATCAGAGCATATTGACAATGGATACATTTTGCTGCCATATTATACTTAATGTCATCCAGGAAAGATGTTGTGCCCCCATAGGGGGGGAGCAGAAGATGTTTGATGTTTCATTAGAGTTATAGACACAGTAAATGCCTTCATTAATCAGGAGTGTAAATTACAGTTTCTTTTTATCCTGAGTTGTCCCATTGTACAAACACTCTTTTTTTTCTGTCCTGTTAATTCAGTTAGTGTTGCTCAGTTCTGTCCATTCCAGCCATAAATAAGGGAAATACAGTAACTCTTACATTTTTGTTCGAAATTAGGCCACTGGAAATTGGAACGCGTTTAGAACCTTGTCCAGCGCTCTGTTGGTTATTTTGGGCTCGGCTGTCAACGTACAGTAGGAAAGTAGACCATAAATTTGCATTTACAAGTATGAATGTACATTTTAATAAGTAGCATGGAAATGTAAATATAAAAAAGTGTGAAATAAAAGAAATTTTAAGAAACATTGCCTATTATTAATATTCACGTATCACTGAATTAGGCCCTAGATCCTGATACCAGTATATCTCAGAGTATTAAACTTTCAAATGCAGTCCAGCTCAGTATAGTAGATTTATACAGATACTCCATGAAAAGACATCTAATTTGTGGGCTGCAATATATCGATGTGGGTATTTGCTTATCAGGGCCGTGATCCGCTCATATCGCCTGAGTTTGCGCGCAAGGAGGGGGCAGCAGGTGCTTCCCACAAGAGTCCCACCCTGCACAGCCACCAATCACCATCTTATTCATCACACGAGTCGTCTGTCTGATTGGTCACTGGAATATTTCAGTCCAAGGGGCCCATTCTCTCTTAGGAACACATCTAATCACTAGCCCTCTCTGCTTCTCACCTCCGTCTCTTGTACCCCTCAGATGTATCAGTCGCCGCAGTGCCGGTCAACCACCGCAAGCCACCACCCGGGTGCCATCTTCTGAGCAAGCCGATTGCACCTTGTCTTGGCCGGGGGGTGGGGAAGCTTGCCAGGGACTATGTGGGCGTCGAGTGGTGCTGTATTGCAGGCTGTGTACTGCAGGTTTCTGTCGCTGTTTATTCGCTGTCCTTGTGTGAGAGCCATCCTGTCCCAGTGCAGCACACTCAGAAGGTGAGGACCTTCTGATGTGGAAGCAGACTGAGTGGGACCTTCACGGCGTCCTGGGTACGGATGCTGCTGCCGCTTCTTTAGTAAGAGCGCGATGCTGATGGGGAAGGAGGGGGTGCTGTGGAGTTAGCACGCTTGCAGCGCCCTGCCGGGAAATGCTGACTGCAGAACCCACACCCGCACCAGTGAATGCTTCTGCATGTCCGTGGACCCGTTACTGCCTTGGTTGGGATTAGTACCCGGGGCTGGGCCATTGACCACCACTTATGCTTTAATGTCCACTGTTATGTCTTGGCTGAGATCTGCTGTACTGCCTATTGGCCGCCATGTTCTGCCACTCAGAGCTCACCTTCAAGATTCAGGGAGGCCATGTGCGCTCCTGTGACTTTTAGCAGTTCTGTCGACATGACCGTACACCCACAGATGGGCCAGCGGTCTCCCAGTGATCTGGATCTTTTGTACCAGCTCAGACACTGCACTGCAATTCAATGGTGCCTTATGTCACAATTCTGACCCATTTAAACATGTCAGGGAGCATAATACCGAATGCTTGCCTGAGTCCTCCGGCTTTGCCTGTGGCTCTGTCACTCTTACCCATAATCCTCACGTCTCTGTCCGGTATTATCTTGTGAATTGTTTTGTCTACATTAAGAAATACGGAGGGTTCAGAACTTTCATGCAGAAAGGGTCGGATCCCTCTCTCTTACTTTCTCTCTACTGATGTTCTGTGCTTCAGCAGAGAAATGGTTCCCCTCATCCTCTTTAATCTCTTCATCCTCCCCCCTGTGCCTCTCTCTGCAAATGTGCCGGAGCGTCCGTTCTCTCCCCGGCTCCCGTCACACCTCGTCTCGCCTCCCCGAGCCCAAAATTGTTTGTTGGTGGGCGGAGCGGCGCTCATTACATAAGACACTCTCACGCAATCCAGAAGTCTGAGAGCGTACAATTACCCAGAAATGGCTAGCTGGCTGCCAGCAGCCTTAGGGAGGGAAAAAAAAGACAGAGTGAGATGGAAAAGAACTTTTTTTTTTTTGTTCTGTAACAAGACAAATGAGAAGGTGCGATCTGAAAACATGGAGTTTGAGAATGTCGAAAGGAATGAGCAGTTTAGTTTCCGAATGACAGATTTGGCAATTATCTCTAAGTACCTCCCTTTTCTCTGCTTTCTTCCCCAGCCGGAATGGAATAGCAGTTTGCCTAAAAAAAGTAGCTGTTGAATAGTATGAAACACGCTAGCAGGATGTAGGTAAATGGGAAGTGTCGGCGTGTGATTAATTGTGGTGAAACAGGCAAGCGTGGCAGTGCCGGGGCCATCGAGTTTGCCGTAATTCTACCCGCTTTGGTGATCCTGTTCAACAAAAACACTTCGTTTTTCAGCAGACATGCTGCAGACCCTGTTAACCTCTTTCCAGTTCAGACTTGGGTTTTGTTCTGCAAGTGCTCCGGCCAACGCGATCCCCCTGGTTGGGGTCCTCGCTCGCAAAGGATTTGGTTTCTTGAGTGGGACCTCACTGAGCTTGGATGCACTGACTCCCGGGATGGGCCGATGCACAGCTGTGCACTCGCTGTCTGCGCGGGCAGAATATGATCTGCTGAAGGCTACAGCTTTTGTAAACACCATTCTCTTGGTCCCATTCCTTACTGATATGAGTATCCCTCCTGGAATAAGCATGTGGATTTACTGTGGTATGGACCCTTGCTATAACAGTACCACCCCCAAGTAATTGCTGCCTGGTCTCCTCTTGCACCACAACTTCCTGTTTTCACTTCTAGTTTATTCTTGCCTGCATTTTGCTGGTTTGAGGAAAAAGCCTGTTAGTGATGTGTGAATGTGGAAAAGCCAGAGTGAGAGCCTGGCTCCAGCTTCCTCCTAGTGATGTGTGAATGTGGAAAAGCCAGAGTGAGAGCCTGGCTCCAGCTTCCTCCTAGTGATGTGTGAATGTGGAAAAGCCAGAGTGAGAGCCCGGCTCCAGCTTCCTCCTAGTGATGTGTGAATGTGGAAAGGGCAGAGTGAGAGCCGGGCTTCAGCTTCCTCCTAGTGATGTGTGAATGTGGAAAGGGCAGAGTGAGAGCCGGGCTTCGGCTTCCTCCTAGTGATGTGTGAATGTGGAAAGGGCAGAGTGAGAGCCGGGCTTCAGCTTCCTCCTAGTGATGTCTGAATGTGGAACGGGCAGAGTAAGGGCTGGGCTCCGGCTTTCTCTTAGTCATGTGTGAATGACAGAAAAGGTCAAGCTATGGCCCGGCTCCGGTGTCCTATTAGTGATGTGTGAATATAGAAAACCCAGAGTGAGGGTCAGGCTCCAGCTTCCTGTTAGTGATGTGTGAATGGGGGAAAAGGCTGAGCGATGGCTGGGTTCCAGCTTCCCATCAGTTGCATGTCAATGATGTTTAATCTGACCTAAGAGAACAAGTGAAGAGACTGTTATTTTCTTTTAAGCATCTTTTTGAAGCAGGAATAGGGGTGGCTTTGCTTTGTGTTTTTTTATTTATTTAGCATAGACATAGATTATATATCTATATGAAACAATGGAACAAAATCCTCTGGCCTGCCACCGAAGGCGACATCCCCAGCAGCCCGAGGACCCTGACGAGGCTGTCCCGTTACTGCCAGTCTGCCGGCCCACAGCGGTGCATCCCGTATGCAGACCCGCTGCACGCCCCTCCACTGTCATTTCCTCTCCCCCCCTTCACAGAGCATGCCGGCTGCAGCCTGAGCCCCCTCCGGCCTCCTTCCTCCCATCCTCTGTAATGCTGGAAGCTGGTGCCAGACCATGGGACCCAGCCTCTGCCTCTGTACGGCTCGCACAGCCTTGGCCCGCTGCTGAGAAGGACCCCGGCCGGCTCAGGGCAGGGAGGACGCCGGCCCTGACCCCGACGCAGGTGAGAGCGGCAGACATGGAAAGGCTCTACAGGATGACACAAGAAGGCATTCGTGTGACAGAGCTGTGCCTTAGCACCTCAGCAACCCTTCTTCTAGTTTCCAGTATCTTTGAAAAGCAGCCTTAGTTCTTCCTGCTCAAGGGCCTTTACAGAAGCAGTCAAAGAGTCACGCATTTAACTAATCACTTTACTAATTAACTAGCTCCCAGGATTATTATTGCAAAAAGATAAACTCAATGTGATTTCTATGTGATATTGAAGGCACATTCGCTTTACTCTTCTTAAATACATAAATAATCCCCCTCTTTGATCTCTCTCACCATGAGTAAATCCAAGTATGTTGAAACTAGATGAGCTCGCCGCCGGTCACTAAGGCAGTGGCTCCGGGTTTCGATCCACAGTATTGTGACTCTGCTCCAGTGCAGTCTTACTGCAGTAAACTTGAACCATATCTGACCTCTTAAGGTGGTTCCATGCATGCTTTCAATCAGCACTGAAAAACGCCAGACTCAACCTAAACCTGACAGATTTAGTGCCAGAAACCCATCATGAGTCCAAGTGGCATCATTATTTTTAAGCATTTTCCTGACTCAACCCGTTACATTCTCATTTTATCGCTGAAAAACCCCTTAAAGCTGGGATTTCATAAATGCAAACAATATGTTATATTCGTGTTAAATCCAGCCCCTCTTCCCGTGCCGCCATTACATCATTACGCTCAAGTTCAAAGCCTCCCGCTCGCTCATTTTACAAAAATTCATTTCCCAAAACCTCAGTCGATTAGCCTGCCAAGAATCACCTGACCGTAAATTACTCATTTTAAGAAAAACTATGAATTCTGCTTCCAGTGTCTAGCCTGTTTTTAGTACAAGAAATGTCACCAGAGGGGAGATGATTTTGCAAAAAAAAATTAATATAATTGCACATAAGAATAGGTTGTCAAACAAAATCCCTAAAGCATATCTCCCCATTGTTTTTTTAAAAAAACAATGTTGATGTCATCTATTCATGTTTTTACAATATTAACTAAATCCACACATCAGTGTACTGTTCCCAGTGCTAAATAATATACATACAATGCAAGTGAATATAAAACATGTTTAAGTCCTGCTCCGCAGACTCTGAGCTGTCCTGTTGTTATGTTCAGCATTAATATCATTGCAAATAACAATAGGAGGATTGTCTGATTCCCCAAAGCCGCCTATTGTTAAAATGAATGTTTATTTTGCCTTGATTTTTAAAATAATATTAAATTTGTTTGTCAGTGCATCAGAGTATCAGTGCCAGAGCCGCACATGACATATGCGATGCGTTTAAATGTAACGTGCATTCAGCGTGTTTCAGCTGGGACCTCGCTGGCCAACTGGTCCCCAGTGCCACTAAACAGGCCGGTCTTTTCCAGCACTCCGTCTGAGGATGCTGTAATCCAGTTGGGCTGCCACTCCCCAGATGAGATCAAGCTGAGGCGGGACTGCAGTTTGTATTTCAATGACCAGACTGCAATTCCCCAATCGGTGTCCCCCCACCACACTCCAATGATAAATTACAGCCCTCATTGTCATCCCCACCAAATGTAATGCTGCCTGCTCTCATTCATTATCGACATGGCCGACGGGCTGTCGGATATCCGAGCGAGCCTCGCCGGCTTCCTTTGCCTCCGACTGATGTGTATATGTGATGGGTGACATGTCAGTGTGTCATTGTGGGAACCCTTGGGCAGTACAGCCAAGCCCCTCCCCACTCCCCCCCCCCCCGCCCCGGGAGAGAGGCAGCCTGTGATCACAGTCGCGGGGACCACAGTCACGCTTGTGCAACAGCAGCTATTTATAATTTTATTTTAAAAGAATGTTTGTAGCAGCAATATTTGTGTAAAGACCTGATTCGGCTTATTGTCAAGAGAAATAGTGCATTAAAGTCACAATGGCACTTGTGATAAAGTTCAAGCACAGGCCTGGCGTTATTTGCGGTGAAGCTTTCAGACCTGTCCGAGTGTTCGGACCCTTCGAGTAGGACGGTTTTGCCCGGGATCGTTGCCGTGGGGGAGTGTCAGTGGGGGTCAAGCACAGCCGTAAAGTGGTAACTCGGCAACCTGTGGCCCTTAATGACGGGGCATTTTTGTCCCTTAGTAGGGCTGGGGCCGGCCACTTCACTCTCTCTTAGGCTTCCTTTGATTTACTGCAGTCAAGGTCATGGTAAAAAATCATTTAAATGTGCCCCTAGGCTGTTTGCTCTCTGCCTTTTTGAATTTTTCTGAATAAACCAATTGTTGTGCTACTCTTTTTACTGCTTTGTCAAAACTATTACTATTTCTGATTTTGAAATGTATTTAGTGTTTTTATGATAATTGATAATGAACCGGTGAGTCATGATTTGGTGGGCTTCACCCTCTGTGGTCCCTAAGGCAGTGTAAGGAATGCCCCCCCTTAAAAAAAAAACGTAAGTTTGCACTCGGATTGTCAACATTATTCGTTATGATCTTTACCTAGAGACCATTGCAAGAACCTGCTACGTGTCACCCCCCCCCCCACGCACACGTCACACCCTGTTCGGGTCAGATCGATGAGGCCATAATGGATTAGATGGGGTTTTTTCCATCTCTTTATGATAGCCTGCTTAGTGATGACTCACAGCTATCTTCCCGGAGCGGAGTGCCTGGTCCGTAAGTATGCAAGGCGGCTGGCTTTCTCCCTCAGCTGCAGCAGTCGCATAAACGTGGCATGTTCAGTCGGCATATGGACATGTGAGCCGGCCTGCTATCTCAGCTGCACAAATGTAGCGTGTTCAGTGGGCCTATGGGTGTGCGAGGCAGCCGGTTTGATCTCTCAGCCCCAGAAGATGCATAAACACGCGGACATGCAAGCCGGCCAGCTCGCTCTCGCAGCCGCAGCAAACGCCCAGATGCAGCATGTTCAGTCAGCCTGTGGCCGTGCGAGGCAGCCTGCTTGTTTCCTTAACTGCAGCAAATGCATAAACCCGACGTATTACGTTGGTCTGAGGACATGCGAGGCAGCTGGCTCGCGCTTTCAGCCGCGGAAGACGCATAAATGCGGCCTTACGGTCCAAATGCAGACATGCAAGTTAGGGGGCTCACTCCCTCAGCTGCTAGGTGCACAGTGTGTTTAGTCAGCCTGTGGCCGTACAAAGGGGCCAGCTCACTCTCTTAACTGCAGTAGACGGACAAATGCAGCAAGGTCGATCGGCATGCGGACATGCGAGGTGGCCGCACACACAAATGCAGGGTTCAGTTGGCATACGCGTGAGCTCGTGCCTCTTTGATCACTGTCTCTGAAAGCTTTTTGTGCAGTATTTAAGGTTGATGAGCACAAATGGATGAAAAACGTCATTCCATCATGATAAAATAGTGAGGATAAGACCGAAGAGTCATTTCATGACAGGCCATAACCTGTAATTTAAAGACAATTGCAGAGCTTGATGAAATTTGTTTGAAGATGTGACAATTTCATGAAGTTTAGTATTGGAAACAGTATTTCTGTGCCAACGGTCTGTTTAACTGTGCCTGTCTCTCTTATCCTGCCCCCTCCCCCATCCACGTCCAGCTTGGCAGCGCAGTCCCCACGGAAGACGGGGAGCCAGCCCAGACCAGTGCCGCTGGCCGCCCTGGTTTCAGCACCCTGCCGCCTCCTCTCCACATCACTACGGCAAGTTTCCATGGCAACGGCAGCCTCTGCAGTGCCGGTTTCTCGGGATCCTCTCGCATTGTTAGGTCCCCGTTCGCGGCAGCCTTATATGCGGCTGAAATCCGCCAGTTTGCGAGATCTGCGGCTATTTACATTTGGCTGTAAATCAGGATGTGGTGAAGCGCTCCGGTTATAGATCTGTTTTAATCCTCCAGCTTACTATGGAGCTGCTCTTGGTTTCCTTGAACATTGCTGACTGCATTCTATATTTAACTGGTTATTTTTATCCTGTATGTAAGTTGCCAGAGTCCTGAATAGTATGTAGCAGTTTACAGCTTTGAACAATGGTAGGTGGGGAGTGCAGCATGTTTTCTGTCTTTATTTACACACACACACACACACACACACACACGCACACACACACAAGTAGCCAGGAGCTCGCATGCATTGGAGATCGACCTGGCACCTGATACGTACAGCGATTTGCTATTATTCACTCCACCCTCAGGAGGTGATCTCAATTACCAGACTTAATAAATTTGCAGGAGCCTCCTTAATGTGCCACCACAGTGCAACTGGGCCAGTGCTGTGAGGTGGCTTCCCAGTCAATGAAGGGGGGAAATCAGAATGCAAGCAGCGGCTCGCATGTTGCAGCGATTTGCATGAAGTGACGACACCGGGGCAACGTGGCGCTTCTTAATGGCTCGTGAAGGTCAGGCATTAAGGAGCCAAAGCAAAAGCAGCATGACTTCAGATACAGCAGAAAGCACGCAGGAGAAGATGCTGGAAGCTGATTTTATCTTTAAAAACGGTCTTGGGGGAGAGGTGACATTTGGCAAGATGGCGACTGCGGGCTGCTGCCTCTGTGCAGGCTGGCAGATTTACTGTGTGGGCGGGGGGGTTCGGGGGGGTGGAATCTGCCGAGGTCATGCAGCTGGAAAAGCGGGAACGCCTCTCGTGTGGTAAAAGAAGCTGGGGGGTGGGTGGGGGGGGTATATATTGAGATAGATTAGCGGTGGATTTTGCGCTCGCCTCCGTCACCGGAGAGTCGCCAAATTGGAGTGGAAGGCGCCAAGATGGATGCCGTTTGCATGTTCGATGGCCCGTGGCAGCAGAGCGCGTACAAATCTAATATGTTAATCATATTATTCTGTCTGCAGCCCCTACAAAGATTAAAGCACTATTGAGTTTGCATACTGGCTGCTCCCTTTTCCTGCTTTGGCTTTAATGTGTACTCGTGCTGTGAAAGGGCACACTGCCTGTGATCTGACCCCAGAACAGTGCGCACCCTCATGCATCCATCAGGTCTTCCCCATGCAACCTGCAGCAACATGCCAGCAAGATGTCTGTCTTGAAGATTGATTTCACAAATAAATACTTTTGTTTTTATTTCCCAGTCGTTTCCCCACATCCACCTTGTAGCCCCTGAGCTAAAGATAGCCCTCTCCAGCAGATAGCCCAAACTTCCTGATCATTGCATGTTTTTGGAGACACATGATTAATCACCCCTGCTGCTTCCTGCTAATATCGCTTCTTGCAGTTGCCTTACTATCTACTCTCTCGTTGGTGAGTTTTAGCCGATTGCCGTCCTCTTTATGGCGGCCCGTTGTCTCTCTCCAGCCCAGAGAAGCTCCCTGTGTTTTCCAGTCCAGTTCTGGTCAGCATACACTTGCACCCCAGCCGTCCCTGCTGCAGAAGAGCCAGCTCGCCCCGTCCATGTTTGAGGAGGCCGGCAGGGTCCTCCGGGAAATCCGGCACAGCAAGAAGGTTCTGGAGGAGAACCTGGAGGCCATCCTGCGGGCCAAGGATGCGGAGATGCTGTACTCCCAGCTGGAGGGGCTGTCTGGCAACAGGTACAGACTCTGCATCTATGATGGATGGTTTGCTACATTAAACTGTGTTTTTGTAAGAAGCAAAATGAAATTAAGAGGTAAAGGGGGGGGGGGGGGGGGGGGGGGGGGCTGGAGTCCCAGGCAGCAAAGGGCGCAAGGGTAGGGATACCCTGGGTGGGATGCCAGGCCATAACAGGGCACTATGGGCAACTATGGGCACTTAGAGACACCTACATCCTACATGACTTAGGGGAAAAGGCAAACTCCCCAAGCACAGATGGCCGGTGGGGGGCGGGGGGGCATAATGGGGAGCACCGTTTGCAGTGTCGGATGTCAAATTGGGTGGTGTCCAGCATGCTTCAGGTGTTTTGTCATTGAAAAACAAACTTCCACTTTGCAAAGATAGCCCCAAAGCTGCTTCCTGTTGTTACGGCGTGAGCGTCTCAATCCGGCCTCGTCGACGGCTTTGCTATTGTCCTTGACTGCATGACCTTCATGCCTGCAGAGTGGCTGATTTACAGGCGAATTGCTGCTGCAGATAGAGAGATGTGTGGGGGCCCATGGTGGCGGCAGTGATTTATCACGCTGTAGGACAAACGTTTGGACACGCAGGGACCCCCGCCTCCCAGTTGCTGGTTATTATTCATCGGCTTCAGCCGCGCTTTCCTCTTTGGGGGTTCTGCATGCTTCTGTGCAGCTTGCTGTCATTTCTGTTACATGCGTCTTAGAGAAGGGTAGCTCTGTATTCCCGTGGAAGTGCCCTGTTTCACTGTGATTTCTCTTTAATGAGTACCAAGCTCATCTGAATGTTAAGTGTTATGAAGGCACATCTTTCTTGGCATCTTACTTTCCTTGGTGTTAAATGAACCTGAGCGTGAGATTAAATATTGCACAGTATTTGTGTAGTTTGTGGGTTTTGTGTCCCTGCAGCATGACTGTTCATATAAATAGCTTATTTTGCCTTGTATTTTTCTCCCCCTCTTATGACATTGTGACAAATCAATCGATGGCCCATAAACGTCCCTCAGTAAAATTTTCTGTGCCTGGTAGCAAGAGGAATGAGTTCTCATATCCCTTCCATGGTAAATATCGGAGTAAGGCTGTGTATTCTTTCTGGCGGTTAAAGTCATGGTCTGTTGAGTGCAGTACACTTGCTTTACTTTGCTTGGAAGACAAAACTGCAGTGTGAGTCATTAAACTGTTGGACTGTAATATTTACATCCATAGTTTATGACGGCTCTTTAAATGAGGCGCTATGGTGGCTCAAGAGGGACAAAATACTTGGCTTTCAGTCATCGACATCCCAGTCCAGTCCCATCAGGCACAGAGGTAAATGCTGTACATGAGCTTGTTCTGGTTTTTACAACAATTCTAAGGGGCCCTGACTACAAATCTGCTCACTCTTGAACAAGATGCCTCTCTGCCCTGCCTGGGGAAAAATTCCTGTCATGATGGCAATGAATTTCCCTCATTGGGGGACAGGAATCTTCTCTATTAGCTGGGCTTTAAACCTTGTTTTGACATTCTCAGCCCTGCAATACAGGCGACAAAAAATACGTGAAATCGGACAAGAAGCTTCAGAAACCATGATGACTAGCTTGACTGTTTATTCCCTCATTTTATTATTAATTCCTGTGAGGGAGGCCAGCGAGACTCTCCTGAGTTCAGGTCAGCCTGCCCTTGCAGTGCTTTTGTCATTCTGCTGGGAATACCTCTCATGCCATGTTTTTCACCTCATGGCTCATTTTGTTGTTTTGCAGGGCATCCTGTTGCTGTTTGTTTGGAAAGTCAAAGCTGCTTTTGCCCCTTGGATTATTCCTAACCGCTGCTTATTCCAGAGTACGAATGGGTACCTGAATATGGTGATGCTGAAGCACTAGCACTGGCTGAACAATGTGATGCTAAAGTGCTAGCACTGACTGAACACTGTTATGCTTAAGCACTAGTGATGACTGAAGACTGTTATGCTAAAGCACTGGTGCTCACTGACCACTGTAACATTATAGCCCTAGTGCTGACAGAACACTATAATACTAAAGCACTAACAATGGCTGAATACTTTAACGCTAAAGCGCTAGCTGAACTTGGCAATGCTAAAGTCGTGGTGCTGGCTGAACACGACCATGCTAAAGCCCTTGTGCTGATTGAACATGGAGATGCTAAAGTGCTGGCACTGCCTAAACATGCAGATGCTAAAGCTGTAGCACTGGCTGAAATCTCTGATGCTAAAGCAGTAGCACTGACTGAACACTGTGATGCTAGAGCAGTAGCATTGGATCTACATTGCAATGCTAAAGCACTAGTACTAGTTGAACACTGCTATGCTACACTCTGTCTGGGGAAAAAAAGTACCAATTTGTACCTTTGAGAGTACAATTACTTGACACTGGAGCTGTACTTTCAAGGGTCTGCCAGTTGTACCCTAGTTGTAGTTAAATGTACCTTTTAGTCTAATTTAATGTACAAAAATTGGCTCTGAGGAGCACTTTTGTACCATTGGGGGTATATTAATGATGTTTGTACCTTGGGGAACAGAACAGTAGTAAGGCTGTACCCTTTTTTCTGACAGCAGAGGTACTGCAGAGTATAACCCATCATTAGGTGCAATCTGTGTATCCGGGTATGTTTTAACAAAGGCAATCAAAGAAACAAAAGACAAAGAGCTAATTAATCAAGCGACGGCTTTGGTATGTTGGCCCCATTTTGTCTCGGGCCATAGTCTCCTCTGTGCGTGGGTGAGGAATAACGCCATCTTTTCCATAGAGGCCTTCACGCGGAAAGATGTAGATTGACAAGACCAGCTTAGAACGTGGATGGATGCTTGTCACGCCCGCTCATAGTGGAAGTCCATGGTGCTCAATGGCAGAGTGTCCGAGTGTCTCTTTGCGGCCAGTGTGGGGTTTACACTGCCAGGGTAACGTGCCAGTGCCGTTCCACTCAGTTTCGCTCATCATCTCTGTCCTCCACATCAGGGTCAAGAAACTGTTTACACACCAGAGTTTAATGTACATTACAGATGTATTATGGTTTATTTGTTGTATATTCTTAATTAGTACCTGAGGAAATGAACCCAAACTCACCTAATTAATTCAGAAGCCCGTGTCAGAGAAATAATTGCTATTGATTTTGCAAACTAGTGCCCAGCAGGAGGAAGGACGCATCTGCACTCATTTTTCATTATGTGTCATGTTTAATTACCTGCAATTTAGATGTTTTAGGTGTCATTGTGGCCTTATTGTTCCCAGACAGGGGTGATGCCGCTCAAGCCCCCCTCCCCCGACAGCAGCACACACTTTCATCACCGTTGCTGTTAACACATCCCGCGCCTGCAAGGTGGGGAGGGGTGCAAAACAATTACCTAACTAAATGGCAAATTGCGTCAAGGTAAAAATAAAAAATTTAAAAAAATGCAAGAGAGGGCTGACTGCATGCTTTAATGTCAAGACCTGTTGCATTTGTTGATTGACAGGTGGCATAAGAGCGTGCTCCCGGCAACAGAAGGCTGGAGCAGAAAAAAACAACCCGCGTGATTGGCAGCTGTCAGGAGTGACTCGTACCTGACTGGTCGGCTCGCAGCTGAACCCGCTATATCCGCTGTGAGATGGAAATGGAGGCGCGTGTGCAGTTCTTGCTCCGTGCCGCATTTCATTAGCAGGCTGTCCGCTTAGCATATAGCTACAGCAGGCATATTTTAAAAACAGGGTGCTGCGTCGTTGCTCCTATTATTGTGAAAAATAAGCAATTATTCGATAGGCAACTTTTTAGATTACCTGGTGTGTACAACCTGCTATTGTCCGTTTTTAGATATTGAAAATCTGTGAAAGTTTACACGTTAAATTATTGATTACTTAAATATAAACTTATTTTGTGTCCTCAATAATATGAGGCATGGATGTATTTTTTTCAGTAGATATTATTCAGATGCAACATTCTGACAACAGTGTTGTGCTGATGGGTTTTTCAGTCACCCTCCCCGTCATGTTTTATATGGTCATCCTGTCTGCCTCTGCGCTGATGATCTCTGAAAAATAAGCCAGATTTTCTTTTGTATTTATACGCTTTATGAATCACTCTACTCATACAGCTTTGTGTCTTCCCATCTTTAGAGTGAGTTCCAGTTCCATAGTCTTTGACCATAATTTTAAGGTATGTCATGTTTATAAGAGAAGAGAAAGAAGAGAGTGCTTTACCACAGAGAGCTTGTAGCAGGTCTCAGGTTCGGCCCAGATGCCAGAATGAGACATGGGAAAAGGCTCAACATGAGTGAGGCATCTGGAAAAATGGGTACAAGATATTTTTAAAAAAGCCAGCCCAGGATCCGTTCCAGGTCTGAGCTGTACACTTCATGAATTATCCAAAAATGTGCAAAATTACTCCAAAGGCTACAGAAAAGATTTTGGAGGATGTTGACAAAAAGCACCAAGCCCTCAAGCTGGAAAGTGACACGGCATTACTCCGTGCCAAAGGAGAATGACTCGACAATCAGCGCAGTTCAGAATGATTTGACCCCTCGGCAAAACCTTCATCTTAGTGCTTGCAGCAAGGATGAGCTCATACATGATACTCAAGCACATCTGCTCAGAAGAGTGGGGTTCCGGGCTTATCTGACTGGTGGGCGCATGGAGGGTTCCTCTGATAGGTTACCTGGGAGGCCAAGAAAATCTGCAGTGACCTGTGAGCGATCCAGTTGGATTAACATTCTGCATACAGAGCAATGAACCACTGCAATGTCCCTTCTTATATGAAGTAGTTTGTTCTTAAAGCCTCGTAATCCAATCTTCCACTGCTAATGACATCCCATAAATAACAGAGACACCTTAACAATGTATTGATACCAAAGACCAAATACATGGGGGCCACCTTTCAGAACACTTCAGTCCCCCTTGGAATGCTGTCATTCATGTCCTGAACTGTGTATGGTAGGATCTTGGGCCATTCTTCTAGAAGAAAAGCATGCTGCTCTTTGAGGGATGAAGGAGGTAGGAATCTCCTTCACACTCTATGCTTTATAAAGGTTCAGT